CTGATATTATGAATCAGGCGTAGTCTTTGATGCACGAGCAATGATTTAAAAACCCCAGCCGGAGCGATCAACGTCAGGACTAGCCGTAAACGTAAGTTATTCTGCCGTCTTTACAGTGCATCTGAAGGTTAGCGGCGACGCATATTTATTTAATTTTGAGGAAAACCAGACTCGAGCGCCAATATATAAATACTGTTCAGGATTCTGCTGAAAAATACCTTTCCGATAGTATACTTGAGTGACTCCAGGGCGAGGAGTCACTAAAGTAAACAATTACCAAAATTTCTTAATAAAAATGAGTTGAAAAACTGAGTTAGACGAACGGTGTGCCCAAGAGACTACAGAGAGGGGACATGAAGCTGTAGGGCCCGGGGCTGCCGCCTTGCCGCACTGGAATACATCTAGCGGTCGCAATATTCGTCGCACAGGTCTCGTTTTGGTACCGAATCGTCCGGAAGGGATCAACGGATCGAATCGTACCGATATCAAAGTCGAAATGCTCACCAGATTTAAACAGCCATCGCTCTAGTCCCGGGGACCCCTCTGTAGCCATCCGCCGCCAGGGTTGGCCACCGCCCGCTAGAAGCGGCGCGCGGCGTTCCGGGCGCGCTCTTGTTCTTTTTCCGCTCCGTGCTACGCCACGCCACTCCCCCGCCGGGCTTCGCAGCAGTAAACAAACTCGCTCATGGATTAGTGTGATTGTTCAATGGAAAAGGTACGTTTGTATGCATTGACGTTGTAAGTTATGATGAATCTCGTCAAATTAATAACATCGAAAAGAAAAATAAGGATAGATAATAGGGAACTGGCAGTGCGCGGTGCTTTGCGAGCGTCTGTCATAGATCCATATCATATAACCCTAGTACAATCGTGACTTAATTATTTGTGCTTTGTTTCACTAATAATTCTCTGATTCCAGCCAGGATGAATAGCTCAATATTTTTGACACCATCTACTCGTGCCCCGACGACGTCGACACCTCGACGTTCTGCTGCAAAGTCAACCAAAAAGAAGACTTTTGTTAACCCTGTGTGTGATACTTGTCAGACTTGTGGGAAGGAGTACAGGTGCCACAGATCCTTTTTGAAACACCAGAGAGGCCACATTATTGTCGGTGAGCTTACCTACAAATATTGAACTTAATTTTTTTTACCTTTTTTTTGTGAAAATATTGACACACATTTTTTTTACCCCAGAACAAGCGTCAAAGTATCCCCAACTGGAGAAAATATTGGAGCATCTGTGTGACAACTTTGGGAATGCACTATACAAGCTGAACTCAAATGAAGCTTGCTTTGTGAAAGGCCAGCAGTACAAGGAATTTATTCAACAGTTGATTGGCTGTCATATCAATTTGGGTGATTTAGATGAGTGGAATCAATTTCTAAATATTATTCACAGTGCATTGACCAAAGGCCTTCAAGGTTCAAGATTCCTCCTACCCTCAGCATTAACTGCAATCCTCCAGAAAAATGCTGAACATTTTCTCTCCGATCTTCCTGAAAGACAACACCTCTGTTCCCTTTTTGATGTGTGCGTTGCTTCAGCTGATGAAGAAATGGTTCAGTTCTTTATAGCTGACTATGTTTTTTTCCTTGTTTACTACATAATTGTATTTGTAAGTCAGTGTGTTAGAAGTACCGTTCCAGCACCTCTAACTTTGGAGACTGGAATGCAAGCAGTAGATAATGACTATCTTGAGTCCTTGTACTACATTGCTGGTGCTAAGATGCATGCACTTAATGAGAAGGCAAAACGGTTTCCTAAGGACAAAGGTTGGAGAAATGTTCAGATGGTTATTAAGGAAAGACTGCTTGAAAGTGATACAAATCCAGGACCTCCAGCACATGTGAAAGGGTGGACAGATGCTCAAAATAGAGGGAAATTACTATATGTCAGTGGTCTAGTGTATGACTTTTTCTGTGGTGTTGTAGGGATACTTGAGAAGCAAACATCCAAAAGAAAGGTAGACTATCAAGATGTTATTGATCAAGTGAGTCAGTCTGGTGTGATTCTGCTGTGGGATGATGCTGTGAATGATTATATCCCAGAAAGTGAGTCTTTTAATTTAATGTCAGGGCTTGTTGAGTCATTTTGTCAAACTTTTACAGTAGGCAAAGCTCAGCGAATGTTAAATTCCATCCGAAAGAAGGGTGAAGCATCACTCCCTTTACGTTCCCAAGTTGCACCTAGATCTTCAAGTGACAAGACTGTTACTTCTAAGTCGTGATACTTTACCAAAGCTACATAAGATATTGTAACATTATTCTTAATCTCTTTTTTTTTCATTTGTGTTGAAGTTTAATTTTTATAGTAAGTCAATAGAATTATTGCATTAAGATGTTTGTCATAAGTGCCAAAGCTTCTCACATCAGATATTTAGTGCTAAGTTTGTGAATAATTTATCCAGTTCCTTTGTGTGTTTACAGCTTTGAATATTATTTAATCTAATTGAAATTGTGATTTATATGTGATTCTGATAGAGGGTCTTATGGTAATGATCCTACCAATTACTATGTGATATGATTTTAGTGCTTGTTCAGACTGTTCTGTGTCACCTTACGTTTGCTGCCTATATTTTGATTGTTTGCAATGGTTAATTTAAAGAAATAATAACAAAATAATATGAACATTTTCAGTGATATTTATTCCTATTTCAGAATGTGAAAACAAACTAGCAAGAAATAACCACTACATCAGGTACCCAGCAGTATTACAATCTTACATAAATATATTCATAAACAACAATTAAATTAATACACACATACAGAGATTCACTGTGAACACACACAGGGATAATAATGGTACAAAGCAATGTTGATATTATTAGGCACACAACACAACAGGTACAAAGATACACTTTAGTACTTAACTAAAGATTTAGGTAGTTGCAAGAATACACTATTTTTTGCCCCTTACATATTTTCTTTTAGGGAGAGGTTCAGAAGAAATATTGTTACCTTCATTCACAATCTCAGTGTTACCAGCATTCCTCTTAGCTGCAGCAAGTTGTCCAATAGTACTAATATTTCTTTGTTTAAAATAATATTGCTGAACATTTGGAGCAGAACTGCCACCTCCACCTTGCCTCTGCTTACCAAAATTTTGTTCAAGTGGGTCCTGGCAGAAACTACGGGCATTTACAAAGGAAATGCCCTCTCCAATAAGGAAAGAGACTGCACCCACGAATGCCCTAGTTGACATTTCGATTCCAAGCAGAGTCTGGTGAGGAAGAAGACATTTGGAATCAAACTCACTTTCTTCATTCTTGCTTTCTTCTAGAGCATGAAAACTGACTTCTTCGAGTTGTTGTACTCCAAGCTCACTCATCATTGACATGTTTGCCCCTTGCAGCTTCTTCTGAGTTATTTCTTCCTCCCATGCATTTAGGTAGTCCAAATAGTCAAAAAGTTCCTTGAATCGAGAAGTTGGTGAATTATTCTTGAAGTCATCTAGGTCTGACTGGGTGTAGGGATCTAGTCGTCTATTATTTTTTCTTGCACCATGTGAAGTTGATGCACCATTCAAAAGATCAAACCAATTGTTTGTTTTCAATAGAAAGTCTACTAATTTACTAGTATTTGGCCACTGTTGACTAGAAATATCATTAGCAACAGTCTTACTAATTACTGAAGCAGCTAGGTGTACTTTCATTTTGCTGTATGAATCAGGAAACACAGACTGCGCATTTAGTTTGTACGACTTCCTTAGAGTTGCATCCTTTTTGGATAAATACAGTCTGATAATAGTGTCCCACACTAGTGTCTGGCCATTCTTCCTGAGGCAGCGGGTACCTTTCTTTCCAGGTCTTGAGTTGAATAATGCATTCCGAGTTGTCTTGAGAAGATGAGGCACATCTGAGAAGAAGTACAGCACTCTGTTTGGGGCAAACTTATTTACAGTGTCAAAAATTACTTTTGAGTCCAATACTGTCACTGGTTTATGCAGCTTGAAAAATGCTCGGTTTGTAGGGGCTCCATCACATGTGAATGCAATCACTCGCACTCCACTCTTTTCTAGGGCTCCTATTATATCCCAAGTCCAAATGTACATCTGTCTAGCTGATGGATTAGAAACAGGATATGAGGCAATTACATCTTTCACCCTACTGGAAATGCCTCTCACCATAAATGCCATTATTTTTGAAGCCATTTCTTCCTCCACAACCTTGTCTGGATTGTCAAGGTATGAATCAAGGATCTTCACCTCCTTGTCCAACTCATCCAAGTTAGTGAAACCTATGATTTCTCCAGTTGATTTTTGTACTACCAGATTTTTGCTGATGTGCATTTCATCAGCCATTAATGTGTGGTACTGCTTACGTGACTTCTCTTCTACAGCAACTTGCTTGGCAATATTTTCCAATACAGTTGTGTCGATTCCTTGCTTAATTTTGGTGGCATGCGAATAATCAAAGAGGGTGCGTGCTGTTGGAAGTTTAATGAACCCACTCTCAGTGAGTGATCTGTAAGCACTTGGAGATTTAAGGTAAATTGATAATGCAAGTCTAATCATGGTGGGGTGCCACCTCATGCCACAACTCTTCTTAGCATTAACAGCTTTAAGTTGTTGTTGAAGAAACAAAGAATGAGAAATACTTAGATTGGAAGACTGCAAAATTTCAGTGAGGTCATCAGATAACTCTTTCTCAACTTTTACACCTTTTCTTGCAATTAATTCTTGCATCCTCTTCTGAAGCCTACCTATGGTTATGCTCTGTTTTTTGATGGTTTTCTGCTTGCTTGCCAATCTGTTGTCTTTCTGTTGATCTGATAAGTACCGAGTGTTGGTATTTTCATGAACCTCTTCCTTCTGCAGAAATTCCATTCTTCTTTTTAAAATTGGTTGAAGCTTGGTGCATTCCTTGCATCTCCAAAATTTAGCAGGCAGCAGCAATGAACATTTATTTGATCTATAGGTCTCCCTGTATCTGCACTCTTTAAACACATCACTTTCAGAAACACCATTGCAAGTAACATCCCAGGCATCCTTAAATTCAACACTGTCCATACCAGCACAAATTTCTAAAAGACGTACTTTGTTCACTATTTGAGAGATTCTATCTAAAAAGTAACCAGTGTCCTCCTCAGTGAGGAGAGGCTTCGGAGGCATTACATCTTGAAGGATTGACACACTTGAATAAGGCTTTCCATGCACCTCGATGCGCACAACACCACTTGATGAAACAAATACATCTCTCTGTACTGCTTTGGACTCTCTACGTCCAATCATGAGAACATGAATTCCTTTGTTGTCCACAACTGGTGTAAAGAAATTAGGCAGCATCAATAGCAGCTTGTTTCTGACTCCTAATAAGAGGTGGCTAAGGATATCAGGTGGTGGAAGTGGAGGGTGAAACATTGCCTCAGATTCCTGTATAAAAAAACAACAAATAAAAATTAATACTCATGGAAACAAACCAGACTACAATTTTTTAATTTGAACAAGAGTTAACCTTCTGAGGTGTAGATGGTGGCTGTGGACTTGGGCTGTAGCAAGAATCACTGGATATCGGGCTAAACAACAAACTGTCACTCATTGAGTTATCCTAGAAATAAAGATACAACTTGTTTTAAAGCATTGCCACCATAGTGTCTATCCCTTTAAAAAAGAGCAAGTGTTTGTAATAACTGACATACCTCTGAGAGATCAGGCAGTGATACGGACAGATTTTTATCACAGCCACTCAAACTACTGCCAGGACGACTGAAGCTAGAAGAAGACCGGCTCATAGTGGAATCTGGGCGGCTCACAGTTGGAGTGGCACTGGCAGGCCTGGCATAATCATGCTCACTTGTTGAGAGTGGAGATGAACAAACCTGTTTCAGCACACAACACAAATATAGTTTTATTGTGATCTTATTCCAATAAATATCAACACTTATATTATTAATGATTTACCTCAGCACTTATGACAACATCCAAATCAAGAGGTTCCTCATGAATATCTTCCTCGACGGCATTCTCAATCTATAATCACAAACAAAAAACAACAAATGCATTAATCCAATTAATCTAGTTGAAGAAGCACTCTGTCAACACATGAAAAGCACAGGTTACAGTACTCACAGTGGGGTTATTGGGGCGTTGTTTTGCTTTTTTGATACGAGTATATCGTCTTCTGTGCGGAATTTTATGCTTTTTTCTTGGGATTTTTTCCTTTTTCCCGCCATTGTCGCCCGTGTCATCAGTTTGATCACCACCCATCGCAGCACTCATGTTGGAACAATTCACGATACTGTAAAAAAACAGTAACAGGCTCTACAAATGACTTACAATTAGGGTTTTATGTTCTAGCGATCACATACATCACTAGTCTAGACATAAGGAATACATTTTCATCGTTTATCCTCACCTGGTGAACAACTATTCAGTATTCAGAACGTTTCAGAGGTTTGAGCAAAGAAAACACAAAGCCGAGCGCGAAACACCTAGCGAGCGAGCAGAACTGGGGTGGCGTGGCGTAGCACGGAGCGGAAAAAAGAACAAGAGCGCGCCCGGAACGCCGCGCGCCGCTTCTAGCGGGCGGTGGCCAACCCTGGCGGCGGATGGCTACAGAGGGGTCCCCGGGACTAGAGCGATGGCTGTTTAAATCTGGTGAGCATTTCGACTTTGATATCGGTACGATTCGATCCGTTGATCCCTTCCGGACGATTCGGTACCGAAACGAGACCTGTGCGACGAATATTGCGACCGCTAGATGTATTCCAGTGCGGCAAGGCGGCAGCCCCGGGCCCTACAGCTTCATGTCCCCTCTCTGTAGTCTCTTGGTGTGCCGTTTGCTGTGGTAGTCGCAAACAGGTCGGTGTGGCATTACCACGATTTTTCAAAAGAATTCGTTTTAAGCCGTGACCTAATTAAATTGAATTGGTCTGAATTAGTTTGAATTGGGCAGAATTTGGGGTATACACTTGGCAGGGGAGTTATCCACCCTTTGGATGGTACCATCAAATGTGTGCCAGTTGGCCTCCACTTTGCTGCTCAGGTATGCTTTTCATTTTATAATTGACTAATTACAAGGTAGATGTACGCCAGACCACGTCTCGCGTAACAGGCTTCGCGATATCTCACGAAACACTGTTACGCTGCGACGCGCCTGGCATACATCTACCTTGG